AAAACGTTGTTTCCATTAGAGTATTATTCTCTGACACGATTTTTTTTCTTCTAGGGGAGCTGATTGAAACTTGATTTTAGATATGAAAAGGCTTTTCCTCCTTTAAAAGTAACCGGGTGGCAGGGGTACAGTAAGTCTGCTGTGAGTGTTGCAGAAACATGTAAGAGGGGAGGGCTTCAGACAGAATACACAATTACGAGTTTCTTTAAGTCCGAGTTCATTGTGGTTTTACACATCTGGATAATTAACCAAGCATTACATTCTCTCTAGACTATTTTTACAAGTGCAATCTGCTCCTAACGTGATTTCCATTAGACTGTTCCAAACATCATTTAAGAACTTAGAGAGATCGCAGACGGAGATTCAGAACCCACTGTTCAGCTGTGATGGGGAGACCTCTTCCTCTCGTGGGAGAAATAAAAGATTGCAAGCTGAATTCTGAGATCCGTGTGATGTAAGAGAAAAACTGGAGGTTTATTGCTTCTTCAAGCCCCAGCAAATACAAGCATACACAAACACACCCTAATATCTCTGGTCCTTCTTGTCAGAGGTGAGCTCAAAGTGTGGTCACTGTGAGGAGAACGAGCCATACAACAGTGCTGGAAATTGGAGCTGGAAGCTGCTCTAAGTACTAGAAAGGAATGATAAGGGCAGACGAAAATCTTGATGTGTCGATTGCTAACCTAATTTGGACTACTGTATTAGATGAGTATGTTTGTCTGGTTGAGTTCCTCATTGGAGGGTCACTGCTGAATTTTACAATACTACATGTTCAAATAGTTTCTGGCCCCGCTTTTCCTCTTTTATAATCGCTTTGATGCTGTTCCGAGCTTTTTGGAGATTAGGGTCTGATCCGATGGTAGAAGGTTAGTGTTAATTCACAGACTTCAGGGGCTGCATTGGCCAGCTGCTGCCCACATTGGTGAACACCAGCAAGACATCAGAGAGACCACAGGGCTGATAATTGCCGTGGTTGTTGCTCTCGTCGTTGTTACAGACGGAACTCAGAACAAAAGAAGCAAGAGTTCATAAAATTACAGGATTACAATCATAGGTCCTAAGGGGCCATATAGTTCATTTCTGATCCATCATACTACCACATCTCAAACTGCACCCCTCACCCCTGGCAAATAGAAGTTTCTGTTCTATTTAAAATATATCCAGAGAAGAGAAAGCTGGGCAAGTAAGACATTTGATTTATGGTCTGGTTGTCTTTTAAACTGCTTGTGGTGGTCAGAGAATCATTAAATTGAGAAATAAATGATTCAGGAAGAATAAACTGGTCTGATCTTGCAAAAAAAAAAAGTCTCAACAAGGATAGCGAAAATAATTGAAATTTCATTATAATGTTTCAATGTCTGTTTTCCATAAAATAATCCTATAATTGTCTACTGTGTGACAGCCTGAGCCACTCAACCAATGGAATGATTAATGAAAACAGCAGTGAAGGATTTGTCACACTGACACAGGGCAAGGAAGTGTGTGATAGTCATTAGAAAGCAAAAATGAGATAAGCATCATCGTTAGGTTAGCAGATGTGGACTGAACATTGAGGAATCTGTTTTGGACATGGTTATAGAACTACCCATTTCACCACCTTCTTTTCTTTAAATGGTCAGCTTGGCAAGCATGTAGTGGATGAACCCAAGGCTGAGCCCCAGTTGAAAGACCACAGACATAGTCTCCAGGACCTTTAATTAAAGTCTGATTTAATATGAGAAATGGAAGATGTGGAGGCAGCCAACCCTCAGTGGAATTCTAGCCAGGGACATGATTGGAATGCAGAGACCCTTGTTTTCATCATTTCAAGAATGGAAAGATAAGGTTAACTTTAAATGGGTTCAAATTAAAGTGAGAGAGCGAGCCTGTTCATAGTCGATGATCAGAAATTGAGTGGGTGTTTCTTTTTAATTTCCTGCCTGGATATATCCCAGATATGCATGATGGCTGCAAGGGGGAGGATGCCATAAAAATGTGGCTGTGTTAGCCTGAATTTGTCATCACCATCAATAGAGCAATTTAAAGTCCATGTCCCTCTGTCTCAGAAAGAGTCAAAGAGATGTTTTATTGTCTGATCTTATTATAACAAGACAACTTCAGTGATAACATCCAATAGAGGAAAATGTTTAGCAGTGATGTCAGATGAGTCATTCATTTATCAGATATGTTTTTATGTTCCTACTATGTGCTGGGCAAGGTACACAGTGTGAGAATAATAATGCATAAAACTTTGGCCTACCACATAGAGGTCAAGTTTTCATAATATTTTTTTCAAAAGACATGATTAACTTTACAAGCACAAGTTCTGTGCTTTATTCACTTTTGTGTCTTCTCAAATATCTATCACAATGCCTTTGACAGAAGAGTTGTCTAATAAACCATCACTGGATGAAGACTATATAATACATCTTTACCAGTAAAATGATTATTCAAGGAAATTTGTTTTTTTTTGTTCATCTTACAGAAATTATATTTGATAAATGTTCACTTATTATTCCTAATAAGAGAATATAGCACTGTTATGCAACAAATCAAATTTCAAGCGTGTAAACACATCTTTATATTATCCCAAGGAAGCTAAAATGTGCTCACGGTTATGAATGGATACATTGTTTTCAGTCAGTACTTTGCCTAAATAATTGCTGTTGCACAAGAGAGCTGCATCAGTGAGATTTTGTATAAATTATGCAAATTACATTATTTTATCATACCTTGGCAGAAGAGTAGGTTTGGTAGTGGGTCAGAGTAGGTTTGATTGTGACTCTACCCTTAACTTCTCTGAACCTCCAGGCCTTCATAGAAATATGAGCGTAGTGACGTCTCCAGCATATGATTAGGGTGTGGAATAAATGAAAGCTCTTGGGGGCTCCCAGCCCTTGAACTACAGACCCCTTGCAGACAGAACCTTGGAAATATTACAGAGGGTCTGCAGACTCATATATACCCACTCAATGCTTTTAGTCTATTTTGAACGTATATGCATTAGTATTTTTTCATATGCATGTAGATTAATTCAAGACTCATTCATTCAGCAACTGTTTATTGAGCACTAACAAATAAACAGCATCAGGCACAGGGGATATACTAACCTCCAAAACAGACATACCCTCGTGTTCGTGGATCTTCTATTCTAGTGTGGGTGGGAGAATAACAATACACAAGATAAATAGTAAGAGTTTATAGAAAAGTGATAAGGATTTTATGGAAAAAGAGAGAAAAGAAAAAGTAAAAAAGAGAGAGAGAGAGAGAGTTAAAATTTTAGATGAGATGGCCAGGGAAAGCATCCCTAGAAGGCCTCATTGAAGGTGTAAGGGAGTTAACTATATGGACATCAGGGGAAGAGCATTCCCAGTGGTGGGAAAAGCTAATGCAAAGACCCTGGTGGAAGGACCAGTACAGATCACGATCATGACTGTGGTCTAAGAGGGGCTGGAGAGAAATGAGTAAGAGGGTTGCAAGGGATAGTGTTAATGAAGTGACCAGATCATGCCAATCCTTATGCCTCCAAAAAAACACTTTGCTTTTACTTTGAGGGAGGTGTGTGTGTGTGTGTGGGGGGGGTCATTAAAGAGTGTGAGCATAGGAGTGACAAGATCAGATTTATGTTTTAGTAGACCCCTCTCTTGAAAACAGACTGGATTAGGGGAAGGATAAAAGCAGGGAGGTGCTGGTTAGGCTACTACAATAATCCAAGCAAGAAGAGTTGATGGAACAACCCGGAGCAAGGTGATGAAGTGGGGGTCTATGAAGACACTGGAGCCTGGGCTTATTTTGACAGAATAGGTTGAGTTGACAAGGTTCACTGATGGACTTTTGTGGAGCGTGAGAGAAAGAGAGATAAGAAACGGCACTGAGGCACCTGGGTAGCTCATTTGGTTAAGCATCGACTCTTGATCTCAGCCCAGGTCTTGATCTCAGGGTCGTGAGTTCAAGCCCTGTGATGCACTCTGCACTGGGCATGGAACCTACTTAAAAAAAGAAAAAGAAAAGGAAAAGAAATGGTGCCATGATTTTTGGCATAAGCAGTTAGAGTTAACATTAATAGGTTGTAGGGAAAGCTTGCGGATTCAAGCTTCATTTTTTAAAAAATATTTTATTCATTTATTCATGAGAGGCACAGAAAGAGAGAGGCAGAGACACAGGCAGAGGGAGAAGCAGGCTCCATGCAGGGAGCCCGATGTGGGGACTCGATCCCAGGACCCCAGGATCACACCCTGAGCCGAAGACAGGCACTCAACCGCTGAGCCACCCAGGCATCCCTCAAACTTCATTTTGAACATATGAAGTTTAATATTAGACATGCAAGTGGAGATGTCAAAAGGCAGCTTTTTCATGTAAAAAATACAAAATTATTTTTAAAATATTCCTGAAAAAAAAATAAAAAAATAAAATATTCCTGAAGAGTAGCTTTCTTTTCCACGTAATCTAGAGGCAGAATTATAATGCTTGTGTCCACACAGTATTTTGAAATTGAAAAAAGAAACTTGTTCTTGAAAAGGTTGGAAATAAAGATAATAGTCCAGTGACAATTTTAGTTGCCAATGCATATGACTGTCCTTTCCCTCTAATACATGTAAGTTTCAAACTGCATCATCATACAGATTTTGAAGTCTTAATTTTGGTCTTGAGATCTTTTTTTTTTTCCTTTTTTTTTTTTAACAGTTTTAAATGGAGCTTCAGGTAAGAAGAGCCCTGTGGGTGGCAGAACTTTGTTTACTGGCCCACATTATTTTATTTTTGGAAGGAAATCAGACTGTCCACCTATTCCATGGCCACTTGTCATTTTCTCATGCATCTCCCCAGTGACTTGCCTGTCACTGACATGATCTGGAAGGCCAGCAGAAGTGAGAGGCAGAGCTCTGTGCCATTGTGGAATTTACAGTGTAGGGTAACCTGGGTCTCATGTGGAAATATGGCTATTTTACTGTCATTTTAATTAGCTTAAGCACATCATTCTTACAACACCAAATTGTGATGGTTCATTTTAAGACCCCTCTCAGTCTTACGCAGGGAAATACGTGCCAGCCCTTGCACATTACATCCACGTTCTCAACCCCAACCCCATGATGAGCATGAAGATCAACCTGAAAGGAATTGCTCTTGGAGATGCGTATTCAGATCCTGAATCGGTAGGTGTCTCATTTTTCCTTTCCGTTCTGTTTTTAAGGAGATTAAATCCCCTTGAATCCAATGGAGGCTCCTCTGACTTGAGACACCTAACTCGATAGAGGGAAATGGTGTTGCCCAGTTGACTTTCTGATGATTTAAATCTTCTAATTTTTATCAAGTGTTTTAAGGTGTCAACTCATTAGGTCAGCCTAGGTTGGATATGAGCGTGAACGTGGAGCACATGTATGTGTGTGTATGTGTGTGTGTGATGTTTGTATTTTTTGCATATGTGTGTTGTGTGTGTATGTTTGTGGTATGTGTGTGCATTGTGTGTGACATGTGTGTTGTGTATGTTTAGATGTGTTGTGAATGTGTTTGTGTGTTCTGGGGGATGTGCCTGGGTGTATAATTGTCTTGCTTGGCTAATTCCAACACAAGATTGACAAATGACAAAGGGTTGTTTGACCAAGAAAGTGGACTTCCCTAGCTTCTCTCTTTCTTTCCCTGTGTTTTTTATGTTTCTCTTTTCTCCTCAGATCATAGAGGGCTATGCAACATTCCTGTACCAAATTGGCTTGTTGGATGAGAAGCAGAGAAAGTACTTCCAGAAGCAGTGTGATAACTGTGTGAAATACATCAAGGAGGAGAAGTGGCTTAAAGCCTTTGAAGTGAGTTCTGGGGCCTGCATTGCCCTGGAGCAATGAGAACCATCTGAGCTTGGTCCTAGAAGGACCGTGGTACTCGGGCATTTTGTTGTTGTTAGAGAAGGAATATCTGGTATGCTGTCCGAGAGCAGGGGGCAGATGAGTGGGGTCAAAGTGAAGAAAAGAACTGTCTGGGTCTCTTTGAATTTAGTTTGGCTCTATTTTAAACCTGTGATCACCTTGGAGTGTTTATCTAACTGTGTCTTTCATTAACTGTTTTGATTTCTTTAAATGCTGTGTAGGCCCTAAAGGCATACCCTATCACAAGGAAATCAGAAGAAAGGCGACCCAGAAAGTGGATGCATATGCTTCAGCATATGCTTTAAACCCTTCAGAAGGGTGATATCCACACAGGACTTTGCAGTTGGAGAAGTGGCCACAGTGTGTAACGAATGTCACATGTTCTGTGTGTCAGGAACAAAGATTATAAAGTATAGTAATTTGAAACTTTTACAAAGAGCCTTTGGTATTTGTAAATATCATCACAATGCTTCCCTAAAATCGAATTTGAGAATCAAATAATATGGTTCTGTTCCCCACCCTTTTTGTGGGGGGGGGGCAAATTATTTAAAATCTGAGACTATACTAAATACGAACATACAGGAGTGCAAGTTTTTTGTTTTGTTTTGCCAATGCAGACAATGATCATGTATCAACGATCCTAATTTTTAGGAGTTTTTTGGCCACCTTTACTATAGAGCCATCGTGTTTCACATATTAGTAAATGAGGCAAGGATTACATTTTGAGGACTTTGGTCTTTTTGTTCTTGGGAGCATATCTTGTACCAGTTTACCTAATGGCATTACTGTTATTAAGGTTGAGGCCTGATATTAATAGTCTTCTAAGCACTGCAGGTCAGCCAGTTTAAATCAAGACAGGAGATATACAAACTTACAGAGAAGGGGGCAACAAGGTTATGCTCCATTTTACAAGCAGGGTGCATGGTACTACCTGAAATCCCCAAAGCAGTGAGTGCCTTTACCATGAAATCTTACAGCAGCAAGATGTGCAGCTGAAGCCGTCCAGGAAGCCCCCACCCATACCTCAAGATGCCATTGGCCTCCTCTTTCTCTGTGTCAGGACACCTGGTGTGGCTGCAGAGTGCAGATTCAGAGTTTCTGTGCAAACTGTTGAAAAATTAACCAAACTGTTGAAAAATTCAGGTTATTTTGTGTATTCAGAGGTAATGAGAAGATGGCCCATTAAGTTAAAGCTCTCCCAAACTAAATTCATCAGAAAACAAAGCAAAAGGGCCCCCCCCCCCAAAACAAAACAAAACAAAACAAAAACAGAAGACAAAAACAACAAACCTATGACAGTACACAATGTCTCTAAGACCACTGGTCCAATATCTTGAGTGATGAGATAACATGAAAACCTTTGTATTCTTTTAAGAGAAATAGATAAAATGATACTTAGGAAAGGAAGCAAGTAGTGGTCAGATGTGTTTCAGCGTATGCTTTAGAAAACTCCAAGAAATCCAGAAGCCCAAGAGAATACAAATGTCCAAATCACAAGCCTAATTAATAAGGGCTGTTTGATGCTCTGATCCCTTGAAATGATTTAATCAAAAAGCAGTAGCTCTGAGCTAGAGGGAATTTTATAGACCATCTTCCGCTCCTACACACACACACACACACACACACACACATCCACACTCCACTGATGAGGAGGCGGAAGCCTGGGGTTGCTGAATTCAGTTGCCAGAAGCCACTTAATAGACTGTGGCAGGCCTAGGACTAGAATCATTCTCCCCAGATTCCCACTCTAGTGTTTCCCCTGCGGTAACTTTCAGGCAGTCTATAAAAATCCTGGGACATTTAGGCATTCTGCAAGATGCACAGCAGCCCATCTCTGGCCCTTTATTGTCCCCCTTACCATGACAAGGTTCTGGATCACAGAGTTCTTTCTGTAAAACAAGTTTTGACCAGAAACTGGATTTCACAGGTCTTGACCACCCACCTTAACTTGTTTGATAACACATTTTTTTTTTTTACTCTTTCTGAAACCAGATCTGTCCTTAAGGGTGGAATCTATATTTCCATTGGTTCTGAAGATAATTTCTAAAGATAAATTCCCCAATGCTGCATACATTCAGGACTACTGCCCACCTACAGTGTCCCCTCTGGGTGGACAAGTTAGAAAAGAAAGAGATACCTCCTCTGGGCTGACATGGTCCTGTGGCTTCAGGGTTTGGCAAGTAGATACCACCATTGTGTGAGAATAAAAGCTGGCTGTTTCTCCATGCGCAGCCCAAGTCTTTTATCCAGTTTGGCAAGCAGACATTTGGCTGTTCTCTGCCCCTCCTCACCCCTCAGCCAGGCATCGCCATATAGTGCACAATCTGCACAGCCAGAGGCAGTGGTCCTGAGTGTCCGTAGCGCTGCTGGAGCATACTTATCACTCCCTCCCCTTTCCACAATGACCATCCTTTTCATGCTTGGTCCCTAGCCCTGTGGCAATAGTAACTTGGATAAATTAAGTTGCTTCATGTTCAGTAAAGAAAACTAATCTAATAAAATAATGGAATTTTGTATTAAACCAAAAAGCATGGCCAGAAAGCATTGAAGAGTAGGAGAGATGGTAGTCTGCCCCTTGGGGAGCCAGCGTGTGTGCAGGGTGGAGCATGTCGGCTGCAGAGGCATGGCCTCGGCTTGAATCTCTCCTCTGACCTGATTAGGGAGGCGTCCTTGGTAAGTGACTTAACCTCTGTGTGCCTTAGTTTCCTCACCTGTAAAACTAGGATACTATTGTCCTGAATTCCTGTAAGTTGGTGTTTGAAAATGTACCGGATTCATGTTTTACAAGAGCCCCTTACAAACTCAATATCCTCATCCAAAAATGTCCCAATGTTCTCGATCTCTTTTATAAGTATTCCCTTCATCTTCTTGCTCTGCCCCAAGCCTGCCTCTCCCCTGCTTCTGTCACTCCCCCTCTCAAGCAGGAGCTATGTTGTCTTACCTACTTTCTACCACTTGGTTCATGGGTAGAGTGGGTGTCTTCCTTGCTCCTCATTGCTGCCCTCAGATTATGTCCTGTCCCTCCAGAAGCACTGAGCTTTGACTCTCACATCCTCAAGTGATCCTACCCACCACTTCTTGTTGTAGTTGCCTATCACTCTCTAGCTTTCTCCATCTCATCCTCTGAGAATGCCTTACTGTCATTCTCTCTCAAGGACATCACTCTTGTCATCATGTCTAGTGATTACAGTGTCTGTGTGAATGATCCTTTTAATACCTGGCCCCTCAGTTCCTTAGTTTCCTCTCTTTCGATAATCTTATTCTTCTCTTTACCTTAGCTGCTCAGTCCCACTACAAATAATAAAATAAAATAAAATAAAATAAAATAAAATAAAATAAAATAAAATATAAAATAAAAATCTGACAGTCACTCCACGACCCTCAGATCCTCATTGTGCCAGGTCACTGCTCTGAATATACCAATTCTAATAACAGCCCTGCAAACCCATTGTCTTGCAGTCCACCAATCCTACTACCATGTCATGATCCTTACTTAGCCCCTTCGGGTCTTAGTTTCTTATTATCCAACTGAAACTCAAGGTCATCCCAGCTCCTTTGGCAAAACCACCATCCTGGCTAAAAGCACCTGTCTACCACCCCAGGTCTGCCTCTCCTGCTTCACATGACAGTGAGCATACAACCATGCTCACTGCTCTCACCACCACTGATGACAAGTTTTTGAAGTCAGAAGTCCCAAGAGAACTTCCACCAGCTCCAAGCACCTTCATATATGTCTACAGCCTCTGCCCTCTCTCCTTCTACTATGGTGAACGGTCAATGATCCACGTCATGGCATTCCTTCCCTACAAGGCTCACTCCCACAGTCAGGGTCTTTGGGCTCCCTGTTTCCTCTGCCTAGATCTTTCCCTAGATGTCTGCATGGTTCACTTTCTTCCTTCCAGCAGGTTGGCTCAAATGCCACCTTCTCAGTGAGACCTGTGTTTCCTCGTCTCTGCAGTGTCCCTTGCACTCACGCACACACACACACACATGCCCACATGCCCCATGACACCTCCTATGTCCTCTTTAGTTTTCTCCTTAATGCCTATCATTCTTATCATACTGAATGTTTTTCCTATGAATACTTGCTTATTGGCCCCCTCCAGGATATAAACTTCACAAGGGAGGACTTGAGCTGCCTTGTTCACACTGCTGTGTCCCCAGTGCCTGGAACAGTGTCCAGCACACAGAAGATATGCAATAAATGGTCACTGAATGAAATAATGGAAGAATGAGAAAATTATTGAATTAATGCAATGACAAGTGCCTGTGTGTTTTTACCTACCCTAATGTCTTCCTTCTTTCTTTCTTCTCTCTGTCCTGACCTAGATACTGGATAGACTACTAGACGGTGACTTCACAAACAACCCTTCTTACTTCCAGAATGTCACAGGATGTCCTAGTTACTATAACATATTACAGTGCATGGTAATGACAACATTTTTAAAACTATGATAGTGTTTGCTTAACTGTTTTGGCAAAATCAAATTTCTTCCAATTTGAGAAACACTGTAGTTGACTTTATACTAGATAAACATGTCCTAACTGTATGGCTTTATTTGGTCTACTAATCTATAGGATTTTCCCCCCACCAATGTTGTATATGCTATAACCTGACCATCAAGAATGTATGATATTCCAGATAACTCAAAACAACCTCTGATTAACACAATTTCCCCCCAGTAGAGCTTGTTATACAAAAGTTCTTTTGTCAAGGATAGAGGCCAGGATTACAGATCTGGGAATTAGGTTCCAGAATGCCAAGCCTGTAGTGAGTTTCTTGAAAATGTTCACATTATTTGTTCTGTACTTAAGACAGCTTGGATAAGCAAAATTGCCAAAGTCTTTATGAAAATATTTGCTTTGCCTTACTTTTAACTTAAGATGGTTTGTTCAACTTCAAGCCCTTTGGAATATTTCTCAAAGTATTCAAGTAGTTTTCTTCCATTAAAAAAAGACCAAAGTTGATGTCCTTTGTGCAGAAATAATCAAATAAAACAAAAGGTGCCAAAGTGGGTATTTGAATTTGTATAATCTTTATCTAGTGCATATGACAATACATTTTGGGTTTTTTTAAGATTTATTTGTTTGTTTATTTATTTGAGAGAGAGAGAGAGCACACACAGAGGGAGCAGCAGACACCACCAAACTCCCCCTCCGCCGCCCCCACTAAGCAGGAAGCCCTATGTGGGGCTCGATCCCAGGACCCTGGGACCATGACATGAACCAAAGGCAGATGCTTAACCTTCTGAGCCACCCAGGCACCCCAGTGCATCTTGTTTTTAAAATTTCCTTATTTATGAACTATTTTATAGATAAAATATAAAGCTAATTTCAATAGAATTTGCCAACCCTGTGGTTTTGGATTTAGATTCTCCTAAGAAAAAAACATATTGTAGGCAAAAGAGAAACAGAATTTGTAATCACAGTTCTTTTTCCTTGAAAGTAATATATTCAAAAAATTAGCAAAAATTGAGGATGCACAAGATTGTTGATCTCAAACTCTCTTTTATCCTTTTGTAATTTCTTAAAAACAGCATTTACACCCTTTCTTCTTTTAGTATGATGAATATCACAGGTTTATCAATATCACAGATTTTTATGCAGTATTTTTTTTTTAAAATAAGACTTATGGACAATTTTTTTTTGTCTAATGTCCTTCATAAAGTCATCTGTTTTTACACCTGGTGTATTTCCCCTCTTCAATTATGGTTAGCTGGTTATTTTGTATGTGTGGTTTTAATAAACAGCAGAACATGGGAAAGAAAGCCTCAGCTTTTAATCCACCATGCCACCACCTGGCTCCTGGCTCTTCTGGTCCATTTGACCTTCATTCCATAGAGCCTTTGACAAGGAGCAAATTGCTTTTGATAATCTCACCTCTTGCATTTTTCCTGTCTTTGCCTCAGATGGGGTTGTTGATTGGAGTCACAGATTGTAAAAGGTTAGTTTGCAAGAAAGGAAAATGGAGCATTTGCAAATGGGGTATCATCCAGTTTTGCTGTTAGTAGAATTTCAATTCCCTCAGAACCCTCAAATCCAAAATTTCAGGATGGAGACCAGTTAAGAGTCAGGTCTCATCTTATTCATCATTGTTTATGTTATGAGAAATTTGAAGCTTTCTCAGCATGCTGTTCCTGCCACCTGGTCATGTTCCCTGATATTGTTTTGATGTCCCCTTCTGCCAGGAAGCTGAAGACCAAAATTACTATGGGACTTTTTTGTCCCTCCCACAAGTGAGGCAAGCCATCCATGTGGGAAACCAGACCTTTAGTGATGGATCTGAAGTTGAAAAATACATGCGAGAAGATACAGTTAAGACCGTTAAGCCCTGGTTAGCTGAAGTCATGAACAATTACAAGGTAAGAGAGTTACTTCAGTTACTATTTCAGGAACTTTGCAGATAACCCAGAGAAGAGGTGACTTTCTTTTATTTGTGATTCAACTTCTGCCATTTTGTTTTTACTTTTAGGATATTTTACAAATACAAATAACACCACCCTGTACTGTTTGATTTCTTTGGATTAAGTTTTCTTTTTTCCTTCTAATTAAATAACTATCCCTTGATAGTTTTTTCAAATGAAATTCTCTTTGGCACATGCCACTTCTCATCATTTCTTGAGAAAAGAGGTACAGCAGATCCAAGATGACTGGCCTTGTGGAAGCCAATTTTGCCTTATTGCTTGCTTTATAATATTAATCCCAATGAAGTCAGGGTTAAATGAAATCAACTGGTTGTTCCAAAAAGTGCATTTTGCCTCATAATTATATTCATTCCCATTGCTCAATCACAGTTTTTTTTTTTTTTCAGTATCTGTTTTAAGCCCAAAATGGTGTTAGGCTATCAGCTTGAAACAATGAATGAGAGAGGGTCCCTGTTTTGAGGAGTATAAATTCAAGCACTTTGTTACCTGAGATGTTCTTCTGTCTGATTTTCTGCTGGGTACCGAAGGAAAGTGAAACCGTGATGCCCTGAAAAGGCAGGCAAAGGGGTCATGGACTCCTAGAATTCGCACCATGAGAGGAAGACACCAAGAACAAGTGAGATAGGAAAAAAGCATCCTGTGATTTTCTTTCCTGCTACTGCTATTCTCACCTCCTCCTTTGATCTTCCTAAATTCTCATCATCTGTCCTAGGCCTGGTCTGCAGAGTCAGTGTGCTGATGATAGAGGGGACCACTCCTGAGGTGATCCATTTCCTCTCTATTTCCTGGCAGAGGCAAGAGTAATGTTTGAGATGAACAAAAAACAGGGCGACCAGTAGCCAACATACTTTGGTAGGAATTAGAAAAAAGGCTAGCCTCCGTTCAGGATACTTCAGTTCCATCCATCAAAAAATTCTACTAACATTTTGCTTTAATTCAAATGAAACTCTTCACTACCATTTTTCTGCCAAGAGGAATATACATGCCTACAAGGTCTGTGTTAGAAATCTTTTCCCTTAGGATTTTTCAGTGTGCAGCCTTCAGTACTGTACGGGGAGTCTGTTGCCAAATGTACCCTTACTAGATTGTGTTCTGAAATATGCCAGACCTAGAAGGCCCATGTTTTGGTATTGCCTCTAGTAAATAGTTTGAGTCCCTTGATATACAGTCCTTATTGAAAAAAAATCTACGGTCAGCGGCATGCCATCTACAGACCCATTATAAATTTGCAGAACTTGATGAAATACTTTCGAAGAAAGAAAGTGTCTGGCTAGATGAGGTCAGAATTTCAACCATCCTTGTGTTTGGTTCTGTTGGGGTCCTTAGTGCTTGCCTACTTGGAGCCTTCTCTGCACACCTTTTTAAAGCACTTCACTGGTTGTCCTCTTCTCCGAGTTCTCAGACCCTGTTGTCTCTATCACTGTGGCCACACTTAGAACCTTGGACTGTCATTGCAGTCTGTCCATTCCAGCACCAGCCTGGTGCAGATGTCAATAGCAAATGAATGAATGAATGAATGAAAAATCCATTCTATATAAATTAGTGTTACATCAAAAATAAGTCTAATATATTTGTCCATAACTTATTAGGTGTCATCTACCCCCCCCCCAAAAAAAAAGAAGAAGAAGAGCTGAGCACTTGTGTTCTCAAAACATAATAATGGGCTATAATATAACATTAAAGAATGCAAAGTCTTTTTTTTTGAGTGGAGAGCAGATAAGGAAGTTCTATGTATATCTTGTGTGCCCCTAGAAGAACATTTTCTCACTGTCTAAATTTAACTACAATATGATTCTTTTTTCAGCCAAGTGAGGATAGGAAGGAACATGTAGCTCACCTGATTATATAAACTATCCTGATACTGGCTAATCGCCATAGAATATCCCCTTGATTAATAAAGATCATATTGATTAAAAATGACCCAGGATTTTTTTTAAATCTTTTTTTTTTAATTTTTTTATTTTATGATAGTCACAGAGAGAGAGAGAGAGGCAGAGACACAGGCAGAGTGAGAAGCAGGCTCCATGCACCGGGAGCCCGATATGGGATTCGATCCCGGATCTCCAGGATCGCGCCCTGGGCCAAAGGCAGGCGCCAAACCGCTGCGCCACCCAGGGATCCCTGACCCAGGATTTCGATATGTAAACATCTCTGTCCCAGTTTCCAATGTATCTTAAACCTACCAAAATGAATTCCAATGAAATCAGAATATTCTTTAAACTTTAAGCTCTGAATCAGTTGTCAGAAAGAAAGAGAATAGATCAGTGGTATAGATAAACCATGTTTCCATATAGAAAGAGAACAAAATGTGCAGTCAGTCCAAGCACAGAGTAAAACGTGGTTGCTGCTACAACAGACTATGGATTCATTGCTACAGCTGCCATTGCCTCCAGGGCAATGATTATCTTTGGCTTCTCTGTTAATGGTGGTGAACCTCAAAGTATATGCAATAGAATCAGAATGACCTAGGTTGTCTTAAAACATTAGTGCCCTCAAAATTATATTTATGCAAGTCTCGGTGCTAATTTGTCATAGAAAATGGTGTACATGTTTCTATTCATAGGAACATGGGAGTCTTTTTCTAGTACTAAGTTCATTTTAGGCAATGTGGAGTATCTCTGATGGGCTGAAGAAGAACTTCATGAGTTTCTGGGAACTCAAAGAACTCCTGTGGTACTTCACTTTTTGTGTGGGCTACGTAAAAATATAATCGTCTCCTCATGAGGACATACATCCCCTTTCATTAATTTCAGATGTGTGGGTGGTAAATTGAAATATATTAGCAGTTTCCAAAATAAGTAGAAGAAATAATCTGTTGGACTATTGAAATTCTCATGGCTAAATCAGATCACAATACTAGCAGGATTTTTAGAGTTAGCTGGGTCATAGAGCATGGCGGTTATGAGCATGAGTTCTCAAATATTTTGAGCTTGAATTCTGGTTCATTGTTCAGTGGCTCTGTTCCTTTAGAGGAAGATACTTAAAGTCTCTGTTCTTCAGCTTTCTTATCTGTAAAACAGAAATAATAATAGTACTTACAGGTGAGTTCTTATGAGATTTAAATAGATTACATATGTAAAAACACTTAGAACAGTGACTGGTGATTAGAAAGTGCTTGAATATATAAGCTATTACCAATGGTGTTCAACAAACTTTAGCAAGAGTCTTAAGCACATGCTATATTCAAAGTTATATAAGAAACCCTGAAAAACAGAAAAAATAAAGACTTAACAGACTTTTGGTTTCCAGTTCATCATGTAAGGAGCTTAGAAGTTACCTCTCGATCTGAAGAACAAGTTAAAAGTTAAACAAACTGAAAAGTCAACAACTCTTCCTAGATCTGTGAGAAGAGTGAGGTCAGAGGCCAAACTACTTCTCTATAAATTGGAAAGAGGCAAATACAGAGAACCACAACTTATCTGAGCAGAGACTTCCATAGGAACCAATGCCAGGGTAACAAAAACCAAACTGTAAGTTTTTACAATAAGAAAATGAACAAACCAATTAAAAAATGGTCAAAGAACTTAACACACCCAAGTCTTAAGATCTTAACCTCACTCAAGATATACATATGGCATGTAAGCATATGCAGAGATGTTCAGCATCATCTGTCATCAGAGAATTGCAAATTTAAACAATGAGATGCCACTACTCACCTATTAGAATGGCCAAAATCCAAAACACTGACAACATGTGCTAGGAAGGATATAGAGGAACAAGAACTCTCATTCATTGCTGTTAGGAATACAAAATAGTATAGCTACTTTGGAAGACAGTTTGGAAGTTTGTTGTTTGCTTGTTTGTTTTTTTACATATAAAACTAAACAAATTTTACCATATAACCTAGTAATCATACTCCTTGGCATTTACCCAAATGAATTGAAAATTCATGTCTACACAAAATTCTTCACACGGGTGTTTATAGCAGCTTTATTCATAATTGCCAAAACTTGGAAGCAACAAGATGTTCTTTAGTAGATGAGTGAATAAACTGTGGTATAGACAATGGACAATATATTCAGTGCTAAAAAGAATGAGCTCTCTTATAGGACTTGAAATCTGGAATTGGGATGCCACCAGTTTTGGTTTTCTTTTTCAACATTTCCCTGGCTATTTGGGGTCTTTTCTGGTTCCATACTAATTTTAGGATTATTTGTTCCAACTCTGTGAAATAAGATGATGATATTTTGATAGGAATTACACTGAATGTATAGATTGCTTTAGGTAGCATATACAGTTTAATGGTATTTGTTCTTCCAATCCGTAAGCATGGAACATTTTTCCATTTCTTTGTGTCTTCCTCAATTGCTTTCATGAATGTTCTATAATTTTCTGAGTACAGATCTTTTGCCTCTTTGGTTACGTTTATTTCTAGGTATCTTATGGTTTTGGTTGATCATCAAGACAGTATGGTACTTGCACAAAAACGGATACACAGATCAATAGAATAGAATAGAATAGAATAGAATAGAATAGAATAGAATAGAATAGAGAACCCAGAAATGGACTCTCAACTCTATGGTCAACTAATCCTCAACAAAGCAGGCAGCAACTTCTTGCTAGACATGTCTCCAAAGGCAAGGGAAACAAAAGCAAAACTGGCCTATTGAGATTTCATTGGATAAAAAGCTTTTGCACAGCAAAGGAAATAGTCCACAAAACCCAAAGACATCTGACAGAATGGGAGAATATATTTGCAAATGACATGTCAGATAGAGGGAGAATACCCAAAATCTATAAAGAACTTATCAAACTCAATACCCAGAGAACAAACAATCCAATCAAGAAATGGGCAGAAGACATGAACAGACATTTCTCCAAAGAAGACATACAAATGGCCAACAGATGCATGAAAAGATGTTCAACATCACTCAGCATCAGGGAAATACAAACCAAAACCACAATGAGCTACCACTTCACACCAGTCAGAAAGGCTA